CAGTGTCGTATTTTTCTATTTTTTTTTTATAACATGCTTCCATGTTGTTGCATATTATTCCTGTAATGATGTGTTATATTTACTATTATATAATCTAGTCACCTTACCCTGTGCTGTTAAGGTTTTAACTGTTATTATTTGTTCAAGCCCATCTTATTTCTTCATTTAGTATTGTAACAAGCATTCTTTATTTCTCTAACGACCATCTGCATCGTTAAACGACCCATGTTTCACCGGCATGGCGGGAGCCGACCTTATATATAGGACCCACCAGCAGACGGAGTTTAGTCCAGTCCCTCTGCTCATTCAGTTCACGTTGTTTTGAGTGACACTTGTCACCTGTTACTTATACTTCATTTTATTTCTGTGTTGTTCCTGTCACCACCAATGTGGTATATCTATGTGAGTACCTATTTATGTCTCTTATGTGTCTATCAGTGCTTGCTTAGTTACATTTAAGTAATTCAGTGTTGTTTCCCGTTAGTTAATTTCAGTGTTAGTTATTTTATATGTTTATGTAATGTTAACGTAATCCAGTGCTTTATTTTTATTCTATATATTTAAGCAGTTCTTTTGATGTTTCGATGTTTAGTATCATTTGTGTCTTAAAAGTTTCGATAGTGAATCTATTTGTTGTGACAGCCTACGAGGCTCTTTATTGTGTTAATATTTAATTTAATTAAATTCTTAAGGGTTTACTTTATTTATTTCTATTCCCTTTTAATTTACTGGTTATCAAAGTAAATTAAGAGACGGCGTAACAATATATATATATATACTGGAATCGCCGCCCTCCGGGCGGCTCTTTCGCTAGGCCACGGTAGGACGCCACCCTCCGGGAGGCTCCACATTGTCTCACTGTAGTGCATTAAGGTGTCTGCTTTGATTCTGACTCTGTACTCGACAGAAGGCATGTTTTCCAGGGCATTTTTAAATAACTGTACATACGTGTTGCGCTCATGCAGCATTTCTTGGGTAGATAGGACAATGTCATGTCTGACACCTTGAATGTTGCCACGCCCGATAGTAGTCTGCTTTTCATGATCTCCCATGAAGTAGATTTGGAGGAACTTTGCCTGCTCATCTTCCAGTGGTAAGAGGGATCCTGCTTTGTGATAGACTTGACCCTGGACTTTGAATGTGGGCATGTATCCATGCTCACGAACTACTCTGATAGCTCCAAAGGACGTCATCTGGAAGCATGAATTGTACTTCCGTATATTTTCCAAGAAGTGTTTTGAATCTGGTGTTGTTCCCAGCATGAGAGTCTTCAATGGTTGTGGTGGTTTTTCCAAATATGGCAGTCGTACTTTCCCATGAGAGCAGCACAGTCCAGTAGATTCTCCTTTGTACTTCTTTGCACCGCAGTATTCACATTTCTCATCCATGTTGCCAATGACAATAGAGGAATACTTTTCATATTCTATATATAGCATCATCCATCATCACTACATATAACACCATCCATCATCACTACATATAACACCACCCATCATCACTAAATATAACATCATCCATCATCACTACATATAACACCATCCATCATCACTACATATAACACCATCCATCATCACTACATATAACCTCATCCATCATCACTACATATAACGACATCCATCATCACTACATATAACATCATCCATCATCACTACATATAACACCACCCAACATCACTACATATAACACCATCCATCATTACTATATATAACACCATCCATCATCACTACATATAACACCACCCATCATCACTAAATATAACATCATCCATCATCACTACATATAACACCATCCATCATCACTACATATAACACCATCCATCATCACTACATATAACATCATCCATCATCATTACATATAACACCATCCATCATCATCACTAATTATAACGACATCCATCATCACTACATATAACATCATCCATCATCATTACATATAACACCATCTATCATCATCACTACATATAACACCATTCATCTTCAGATTAGTAAAGTACTTTCCGAGATTCTCGTGGTTATCAGCATATACCTAGATCACGCGCACCTACAGTGATTTACTTGCATATATATATATATATATATATATATATATATATATATATTTATATATATATATATATATATATATATGTAACCGGTCGGAATTACTGGACTTATCTCTCACTTGACTTGTGGTTTATTATTAGATGGAAATTGCACTGGAAGCGCCCCTCTGAGAAAAAACCCGAACCAGCACAAGAACACTTAAATTTACTAGCAAAATGAATTCTCTGTGACCCGTGGAAGGATAGCATCTGTGATTAGTATGAATGAGACACACTGTAAAATTTAGACACTTATATTCCCTCCAACACTAAAGACACAATCAAATAATGGTACACCAACATATGCACACCTCTTAACCTGAACTTAAAACACTACTCTGGGGAATAAAAGTTATACATGATATTGAAATTATTAGAAACTCAGACAATGCCTCATTAGACAACAATAAATTCAAAGTATTAAGAAGTGTTGCTTGCACACATGAAACAGGCCTTAAGTGTTCTCACCAAAATTATATCAAGCACTGAGGAAATGGTATAAAAATAAGAAAGTATTAAATGCACCATGAATAGGCCTAAAGGGCACTCAATAAAATAATATTACCCCAACAAATGCACACCTCCTAACCTAACTCAACACTACTCTGGGGAACAAATGTTATACCTGAGATTGAAATTATAAAGAAATATTAATTGCATTAAAGGAACTAAATCACAGTATCACTTACAACATAAGGGGGAAAACTCACCTGAAAGAGTTCCCTCATTCTCTGGCATCAATTGGTGACGCAACATTAAAAAAACAATACTATCAAAATTATTTAAGAAATATTAACTACACACAAAATATCACTATTATTAAGAAGTTACTGGGTCCACCAATACCCGTGAACCATGCTTCACCCAACACAACATACACCCACAATAAGGGAGATAAAATATTTCTCTAGGTATCCCCTAGACTCCTGGTCTCAGTTTGTGACCAATAATTTACTCAGATAGCCTCAGTGTACTCTCAGTGCATCCATGGGCGGGAAGAGAGTGAGCCAATCAGCCCTTGTTCAGTGGAGAGAAGCGTTAGCTTCTTGTAGTAAAAGGTTTTCACTAACTGCTTGAAGATATGTGATATTGCGAGCCGAGGTAGAAGAGATCTGGCGACCCCAGACGATCGTCAGTTGTGCACCCAGACAGCTGGTTTCACTTCGGAGATCTCTAGCTAACCCGGCTGACCAGTGACAAGCCTGCACTGATAGTTCCAACTGCGACAATCGCTAATCATCAATCATCAACGGCAGTCTCAAAAGGCAGTCAGTCTCTCCCAGTCAAGTGGGTTCTGATGGAAACCCTGAAAGAACTCACTGTTAGCTCTTGTTTACTTTATCACTGCCCTATCTAAACCCTGTCTGAGATCGAATGAGACTTACTTGTTATACTGCAATAGCCCAACACAGGTGACTAGACCACGTGACCGTTTTGTGGACGGACGGGCAGGTACGTCCTGTCTGTTCGATCGCTTTCGTGTAACTGAGAAACAGATTGGCTCGTGCTTTCCCAAGCCTAGGCCTACGTGACATATTTTCCCGCATAACTGATAGCTTCGTTGGGACACACTTAACATTTTTAGACTGAGAACCGATCTATATTTATATTTCATTTCATAATTCGCCTCCATATTAATTCGGTAAATTACATTTAATATCGTATAGGCCTAGTTCCAGAAATTCTCACTCAGTGCTGGAGCGTTGTCTTCCCTCAGACGACCTTGAACTCAGTATCGCCAATGGCGCGGTGTTTGAAATTACACTGAAATTTCTGAATATTACAATCGATCCCCCTAAAAAAAGACAGCACTGTCCTCAAAGGAGAAAAGCATGCAACGACCCCCAGAAAAAGACTTGTTCGACATGCTGTATCTCACTCTGTAACGGGCAGCGCAGCATTCTCGTCTTGTCTTCTCCCTCTCTCTCAACACACACACACACACACACACATATATATATATATATATATATATATATATATATATATATATATATATATATATATATATATATATATATATATATATATATATATATATATATATATATTGTTACGATACAAAGCGAGTTTTTAACCCGGCCCTCTCATAACAAATTGTTTAATCTGTTTGAAAAGGAAAATTGCCTTAAGAGTTTAAACTTACTATTTATTAACAAAAGTATATCCAAAGCTGATGATGGAACTTTATACAAAATATATACAACACAACAGAAATCAGAAAACTCACAAGTAATAATAAATGAATATTAACATCTTACACATATATATATATATATATATATATATATATATATATATATATATATATATATATATATATATATATATATATATATATATATATATATATATATATATATATATATATATATATATATATATATATATATATATATATATATATATATATATATATATATATATATATATATATATATATATATATATATATATATATATATATATACACCGTGGGAATATTTACACAAGTATCATGGTTAAGGCATTAAATATTAGCTCTGATTAATGTTTTAATTAATATTTATGATGCAAATAAATATTAATAGTTTTACACAACCATAGATAAATAAAAGATTTATCTTTATTATGAATGGACATGTTAACATCTCTTCTATTAGCTTCTCGGCAAAACACATCTGGACATCAATATATAAAAGTTATTGTCAGTGTTTTTGTTGGAGTGTCTGTTCGGAGTCTCTGTTTACAGTTTTAAAGACAGCTGAAATTTGGCATGAAAATTTGTGTGCACCCCAGAAGTGTCCAGATGGTGGGACTATGGAGGTTAGATGAACCCTAATCCCATAGATAGGAACCCCCTCATAAAAACGTTTGGTTTGGTATAGTATACAAGATAATGCAGCGGTGGGGGAGAACTGATGGGAACGAACCCCACCAAATAATGAAAGTATAATGTGGGTGCTTAGCCCTGCAAGGGCCAACCTCCCCCTCATGAAAAGTGAGTGTAAATGATAGTGTAGTGGATATAATGAAGATGCTGGAGAGGATATAGTACGGATATTAGAGATGTTGGAGAAGATACATGGTAGATAACATAGTGGATTGTAGATCATAGTGTAGTAATGGACATGGGCTAGAGGCTGCCCCTCAAAAATAAGCTCAGGCAGAGCCGGGTACTTCAGCTAGTTAACATTACATAACTAATAATGTACACTGGTCTCATTCAGATATGTTCTCGTTCCCTGAAATGGAAATCTGGCTGGCATTCTGTACATCTACTGTTGAACTGTTGTCTTTCTTGTAGTTTAGTGTAACATTGGTTTGGAATGATGATTGTGCTGTAGATCGACCTTCCTCACTGGCCAAGGACAACTTCAGCCCTAGGAATCCACTGAAAACATAAAGGCTGAATATGGCACCGACGAGGTGCTCGTAAGAGGGGTAGAAAGAGAGAGTAGAGGTGTAGACGGCGGTGAAGATGGCGCTGTCCACTACAGGCCACAATACTTCGAGGATGGCCAGAAGCGACATGTATCTTCCTATCTCGTCACTATCACACAGCTGAAACATGAAACTTGCATTATTGAATCATACAGAACATTTTATTAACAAAAGTATCAGGATGAGGAAAAACTTTCAGCGGACCTGCGATTTAGGTGGCGATATAATGGAGCGAAGAGAACACACTCCAAGTGACGGAGTGTCATACTTATAACCATATAGGAAGAGTCTTAGAGGGCTTGATACCAGAGATGTGTTTTATCTATTTTTTTTTGTATTGGAAGGAGGGGGAACCTAACTGTTGTATGATTTTATTCCACTCAATTTAAAACAGGGAACTGTCTGCACAGTAAGAATAGACACATTCAGATAAAAAAAGAGAAATTGTTGATGGAACTCCTCAAATTTACTTGACGTGTCGTGTTGTCTGGTACGTAACTGTGGAAATATAGGTAGTATCACCCAGCCCCACCAATGCTAGAAGAACCTAAAATAATCCTGACGGGAAGAGCGCTTCTAGGAGGTGATGACTTTGCTATGAAGTACAAATCTTCTGGGAAAATTATAGACCTTATCGAGCTTTTGTACCTTCACTATTAGTCCATGGGCCAGGGCATGAAAATATGTAAAATGGTACGTTCCACCTGGGGTGGCAAAACCTACGTAGGATTTCTTAAATGGTTTATGTCTGGGATAAATTTGGACTTGATAATCTGTGCCCTCTCCACCCCCACCGTCCACACACTCCCCCACCGTCCCACCAGACCACCCAGCTGACCACAACTCAGCCGTCTCCACACTGCCAGCTATTCAGCCCTTACTAGCTCCAATATGTCTAAGTTGGCTGCTAGTATCAAACATTCAAATTTCACTAAACAACAGCTGACTCATGTGATAATGGAAGTCCAACAGACTCTCATACAGGACGTCATACAACAAATGAATAAGGGGACCATCAGGAAGCTAGAAGAGGCTAACCGGCGTCTCACTGACCAGCTAAATGAGATTAAAAGAAGCTTGGAATTCTGGCAAAAGGAAATAAGTGACTACAAGCAAAGTTGAACGTTGAAGCTTAAGAGAACCGAACACTCAAGACCAAAGTTCAACAGCTGAGTGAGGAAAATTCCAAGCTCAAAGCGGAACTAACAACAACAGCAGACCGGGTGAATTATGTGGATGACATGGGGCGGCGAAACAACCTCAGGATTGCCGGTATCCCTGAAGACACCCATGAGAACTGGGAGTCTTCCCAACGCAAAATTTCACGCTTGCTGAATGAACATTTTAAACTTCCTGAAGTAAAGTTTGACCGTGTTCAACGCGTCAGGAAACCCAACTCCTCCCGCCTCCTGAAAGGCACCACAATCTTCGTCAACGAGGATCTCTGCCCAGGTACGACTAAAGCCCGTCTACAGCAAATGGACCAGTTTAAAGAAGCCAGGAAACAAGGGAAACATGTGACGTTCAGTCATAAAACTCTTGTTGTGAGGGATTGGGCAAGTGGATACCCGCCCACTCACCCACCTGCTGTACCAACCCCCCAAGCCCCTCGAGAACCCCCTCGAGAACCCCCTTCCCACTGAGGGGGAACCAGCCACTGTCCCTATCACCTTCGGAGTTTCCCCCCCTGCCGGCTAACTCGAGAATTACACGTCTACCCTCTGTGGTGGAAACCAACAACCCTCAAAACCGAGTGACAGGAGCACCTCCCACTCCATCTGGGAATCACCCTCAACAGTACCGGTCATCCTAATTCTGTTGGTTGTAGCACTTGTGAGCACGTTACCCCCCCACTATTATAATGTTCTTAGATCTTCCTTTTTCACACCTCAGTGACCCTGAGTTTTTACTGTTCCTTAATCAATATCAATGTTCCCACAATGATGATGCTAGTGTCATTCCCTTAGATGTGCTATATCGTATGTGTTACACCCCATTTACCCATGGTGTCGACACAATACTCCCTCATATCGATCCTGATGTCTTTCTACAAAACTCACTGGGTTACACCAACCCAAACTGTAACTATTACTTTCCTGACTCCCCCGAGTTTAGTTCTAGTCTCCTACTACCTCATTCCTTTTCCTTGATTAGCCATAACATCAGCAGTATTCCCCTTCATCTAGATACCTTTTTAGATCAGTGTTTATCTTCTATTGCCCATAAATTTGATGTACTTGGATTCTGTGAGACCAAACTCACTAACGATATTGACCATTTGTATAACATTCCTAATTATAATAGACACTGCGTCAACACGTCACGACACAGTGGTGGTGTCGCCCTATATGTTGATATCAAGTAAAACACTTCTGTAAGAGATGATTTAAAGGTTCAGGAGGAGTACATGGAGAGTGTTTTCATTGAATTACGTAACGACACACGAAATATCCTAGTAGGGATAATCTACAGAAGACCCCACACTAATGTAAGGAATTTTCTTGATAAATTTTCGGAGCTTATCTCTATCATAAGTTCAGAGAGGAAAGACTGCTACATCACAGGAGATTTCAACCTTGATCTATTAAAATCAGAAACCGACACCTCAGTATTAGACCTTCTTGCTACCTGTCATTCTAAACTCTTCTTCAACACTATAACCAAACCCACTAGAGTAACTGCCACCTCTGCCACTGTGATAGATCATATCTGGAATAACAACACTCCTAACAACCTTGCAAGTGCAATTATTCATAACAATATCTCAGATCACTTCCCAGTTTTTGCCATGTATAAAACAGCCACAAGACCTGAAAGGTCTAGTAGAGTCTCAATTCAATACAGAGACTACTGCACCGACAACATGCTCCTTTTTTAAAACAACCTAATGATTGCTAACTGGGATCTTGTCTATGCCTCTAGCAACCCTAACGTGAACAGCTGTAACTTCTCTTGCATCTTCAATGCGTGCTTTCATAAATGCTTCCCGCTCAAGACTAAGTCAGTGAAAACTCTATCCATTTCCAAACCCTATATCACAAGCGAAATTAAGATAATGATAAAGGAAAAACACAAACTCCAAAGGAAATTTAAAAAAAGACCCATAACTTTCGATGATGCTTACCGAAGTATCAGAAATAGAGTAACTCAAGCAGTTAGAAATACCAGACGTAACTATTATACAAATAAGCTCCAGTCAGCATTAGGCGACAGTAAAAAAACCTGGAATGTCATAAATTCTATTCAGAACAGGAACACTCAGCCTTCGGCCCCCACTCAGCTTTTATGATAAATGATTCAGTTATAACGGAACCCTCCCCCATTGCCAACCACTTCAATGAATATTTTATTAATGTTGGCAAAAATCTTGCAGAGAGCATCCCTGATCACCATGAGGAATTTAGAGCCTCTGACGTTCGTCTTGATACCCACAAAATGTTCTATCCTACTGAAGGTATACACAAACACTTGTTATCTTAAAAGTAGGTTCTATTCTCGTACGGGAGATATATATACAAAGGGACCCAGAAGCTCACTTCCAAACCACCAGGGCTGGCTGTCTTCACTCTCTATCTATCTATGTATTACTGCGCGCTGGGATGTACAGTTGCCAGCATTCACAAGCTGAATACATACAATGTAAATATGATAATTTATATACATAATATGGTGCACAATAAATGGGAATATTACATAAAATTAATACATGTTCTGTAATACTTTACTATACATAATTAATGGAGTAATATAAGAGTAATATAATAATACACAGTTGAAGGTACTACTTTGTGTCCATATCATACACCTCCCTCCCCCCTATACGCTCATAGTTTCATCTTGAGCGGACCTTTTGTTTCTGAGTCGCTCGGACCTGCGGAGTACTGGGGCAGAAACACAAGGTGGGGATGGATTTACTTTAGAGACATCAACATTAGGGGACTCAATTGGGGAAGGGTCAACACTAAGCAGCTCCACAGGTTGGAGGAAACGACGGTTCCTCCACCATACTCTACCACTAGGAAGACGCACTTGGTAGTCCCTGGACCGGCCAATACCCATGACAACCCCAACCTTGTCCCAGCGGTGAGATACCGGATCTTGAATCCTGATCTGCTGGCCGATACTCAACCTGGGAAGGGGGCGGGCATGACAGTCGTACCGAGCAGCGACATCTGCGGCTCGTTCTGCTGCACGGCGGTCACATTCCTCAGTCTTGGCCTGCCACTCTTGAGAAAAAGACTTCGGGTGGGCAGGAACACAAGACCTGAGATGATGTCCGTATCGAACCTGGGCTGGGGAGCGTCCGGTGAAGTTCGGGGTGTTGCGTAACTCCAACAAACCTTGATCGAAGTCCACGCAGTCGATATTTCCTGAGGGTGACACCTTAAGGACCAGGTGTTTCACAGTCTTGACTGCGGCTTCAGCGTGTCCATTCGCCTGGGGGTAGTGGGGCGAGGTCACGACATGACGGACTCCCCAACGGTCCATGAAGTCCCGGAACTCGTGGCTGGTGAACTGAGGTCCTCCATCAGTCCTGAGGCGGAGGGGAACACCGGCTTCTCTGAAGTAATGCCTGAAGTTCCGGATGGTAGCAGTAGCCGTTGTATCACTGCCACAGGGGACGACAACAGGCCATCCAGACAATCTGTCGGCAATGACGAGGAAGGACTTCCCTGCTACTGCAAAGAAATCGGCCGACACAGACTCGAAGGGTCTTGAAGGGTTGTTGTCGCACATTAAAGGTTCCTGTTGCTGGCTAGGTTGCAGAATTTGGCATGGTTCACAGGCACGGACGGTACTTGCAATGTCCGCGTCGATTCCGGGCCAAAATACAGTCTGCTTCGCCCGTCGCTTGGTGGCCTCCACTCCTCGATGGCTGTCGTGAAGGCGGGTCAAGGTACGGCGGCGTAGGGCAGCAGGAATAACTACTCGTGGACCATACAAGACGAAGTCTCCGTCACAATAGAGGTCCTCGCGTATTTTCCAGTACGGGAGTAGCGATTCATGAAGATCGTATCGGTTAGATGGAAATCCCTGAGACACACAGTCGACGAGCCGGATGTAGGAAGGGTCGGCCCGGGCTGCGGTGCAGAGATCTTCAAGGGTCTTGTCTGCATCCG